AATATACTTACTTTGATTTAAGTAAAATCAAGAGTTATCACATATAACCTTGATAATTAAAAAATAATAAGCAGAGCCCAAATCTTTTAAAGAAAAGACTTCATTTAGCTTAGCAATAAATGTAGTAACACTTTTCACATCATTACCAGTAACCAGGATATCATCTGCGTAAATTAAATAAGTAAAATTTGATCTCTATTCTAGAAAATAAATAGAGATGAATCACTTTGACTATTCTTGAATTGCTAGGATAGCAACGTCGAACGAAGCCAATCAAACCAAGCACAAGGTGCTTGTTTTAGGCCATGCAAGGCTTTGTGCAGTTGATAAACATGAGTAGGATGTGCAGGATCAATAAAACCCTATGGTTGAGCCATGTATTTTGTTTCAGTAAGAAAATCATTTAAAAAGGCATTATTAATATCCCATTGAAGAATATCCCAGTTTTGAGAAGTAATAAGTGTTAAAACTACTTGAATGGTTAAAGGTTTAATAATTGGATTGTGGGTTTCACCAAAATCAATCCCAGGTTCTTGTAAGTAGCCTTTAGCAACTAACTAGGCCTTGTATCGTTTGAATGTGTTATTTAACTTAAATTTGGTCTTAAAGACCTAGCGATAACTAACGATATTGTATGAAGATAAAAGGGAATGAGACCCCATGTATGATTATGGCATAAGGCTTCATATTTAATTGTCATAGCCTATTTTCAATGATCAAGTTGTAAAGCTTCTTCAGTGAATCTTGGCTCTATTTGAAGACGAAGAGGATCATGTTGAACAAATCCAACATATGGTCTTTTAGGCTTTGCAATACTTACCACTCTTGCCTCGGGTAATCATTGAATGAGTGTTGATAGAAACAAGATTAGCTGTCTTAAATCTTGAAGAATTAGAGGACGAAGATAAGTCAGCATTAGGTATTAGCATAGGAGATTGCATATGTGGACTTTGCACTTTTAGGATTTGTATAACTAAATTAGTAGGGCTTGTTGATAAGAATTAGCCTCTTAAGGCTGTGTCTCTGGGCTTAAAGATGAAGCCTCAACAGAAGAAGATGATGTCTTTGAGTTTAATGAAGACGACACCGTATCAGACTTTGAAACATCACGATATTCCTTTTAACTTAAAAAATCACTGTGAGAGAGGTCTAAACAAAGTAATGATGCTTGAAAACAGAGCGAGTCATAGGACAAACTCAGAGACGATTGAGCAGCCAAAGTACCTTTGCCAGCAAATGGAAAAACATTTTCATTAAATAACACATGTTGAGAGATGTAAAGTTAGCTCGAAGGACTCAAACATTTATAACCCTTACGTGAGGGACCTGGACCTAAGTATGTACATTGTTCACTTCAAAATTCAAGCTTATGTTTGTTATACAGGCGTAGACACTCGAATTTAAAACCACCATAGTTTAACTTGGAATGAAATAACAATTCAAATGGTGATTTGTTGTCAAGTACTGGTGTTGGAATCCTATCAATAACATAGACTACATTCATAAAAGCCTCCTACAAAAAATGAAGAGGCATGCCTACTTATGACAACATATTGAGACCCATTTCAACTATGTGTTGATGTTTAGGCTCAACTTTTTCATTTTGTTCAAAAGTGTGAGGACAACTATTACGGAAGAGAATGCTTGATTCTTGTAAAACTATTTTAAAACTCTGATACTCTCCATACCATTCACTATGGATAATTTTAATAGTACGCTCAAACTAATTCTTAACTTGCTTTTTAAATTGAATAAAAGCAGAAAGTGCTTGTAAAATGACTAAAATATCCATAAAACTCATGTAATACTTAAAGTTAGATTTGGAAATGATAGGAGCAAGACCCCATAAATCTATATATATAAATATCTAAAGGTGCATTAGCATGAGAATCAAATAAGGAAAAGGGTAGTTTGTGCATTTTTCCTTTTTGAAAGGAATCACAAAATTCAAGAGTATCATGCTTGTCAATTTTAACATTACAATGCTCTACAATATATTTGACAGTTTTACAAGAAGAATGGCCAAGTCTATGATGCCAAGTATTTAGTGTAGCAACAAAAAATTTTGGCTTATTATCATTCCCAATATCATAAAGTTGATAAACAAATGGTTGGCCTTCAATCTTGTAGAGTCCCTCACATTTGTGTCCCTAAGTAGTATTCTGCCTGTGGTCAGATCCTTCACAACACATTGATCACCAAAAATTTGAATCGGTATATGATTATCCATAATAAGTTCTGAAACAATAAGCAGGTTCTTTTGTATAACTAGAACAAGTAAAACATTTAAGTGTAATTTTCTATTAGCACCATAATCAATAGAAGCTTGTAGCTCAACTTGTAATGTCTAACCCATCACCATTACCAACAGTAAGTTTACCTGAGCTTGCTGACCCTCCTAGTCCAGTAGTATTAGGAGTAACATTAGTCACATGATGAAAAGCTCCACTATCAAGATACCATGCTGGATCTTGAATAGTATCAGCTGTAATATAATAAGTTGTTAATGTACTGGTGTTGATAGGTCCTATAAAATCCTTATCAAACTTGTAAAAGCAATTGAGATCACCATGGCTAGGTTTGGTGCAGAGCTGACAAAATGACCTTATTGTTGTTGTTACATGAACCATAACTCCTACCATGAGAGCTAAGACCTCGACCAGAACCATGCCATGGAGGACGGTAACCAGACCTGTGTTGAACACTTGATGAAAAAGAACTAAAGCGGTGATCAGACCAAAAACTCAAATTAGTAAAGGCAAACTTATGGAACCAATGCTATTGATAATTTGATATGTTTCAGATGACGCCCATAGTTAAGTAAGTAAGACTCAACATCGATCCACGAGAGCTTGGCTTTGTCAGAAAGATGAACTACCATTAGTATATATTCAACATCAAGCCCAAAAAGTGTCTGCATCATGAGCTCAGAAAGAGTTAAGGGGTGACCAAATAATGTCATGTGATCGAATAATAACTTCATCTTGCTTAAGTACTCCTCCATCTTAAGGGTACCCTTTCGAGTATGCTGAAACTCGAATTTCATCAATGTAATGCGTGAACGAGTATTTATTCAGGTAAAATTTGTAACTATCTTTGATAGCTGAGCAGCATGCAAAACCTGGGAAGAAATGTCAGAACTCATTAAGCCAAGGAGCTAACCGAAAATAATCTAGTCAATAGCAAGCCAATCACTAAAAGTTGGATTTACAATAATATAAGTTCCAATGGAAAGAAACTCAGGAGGCGAAGGTTTCATGCCAGTGATAAAACCATCAAGACGATGGCCACACAAAACAGATTGAATAAAAGCATGCCAAAGCAAATAGTTGGATCAGTCTAACTTGGTTGATCTTGCCTGGTTGAGACTGTTAAGGAGCGGTACTGTTTTGGTAAAAACAATAGTGGAAGTAATGTCAGAAAAAATAGACAAAAGAACAGTGTCGAATGAAGAAGATGGCAAAGTAGGAAAAGAAGGAGGAGGAGGTGTATGTGGAATAGAAATGGAGGCCTGGATAGGAATGGTGGCAAAAAGGAGGGAAGGCGTGGTTGAAGAAACAAGCACAGGAGAGCTTGAGGTCGAAAGCAGAGGAAGTGACACCCTGGAGAATTTTCGCTTTAATACCAAAACAAACTTTTTTAGAGATTATTGCTCACTCAACGTGAGGAGCACAATGAATTCACTAATCATTTATAGAATTAGTTACAACAGATTGACACATCATCAATTCTACATAATTCCATGCAAATGACCAGATGTGCACAAGCCTCGTATAATATAAAATACACTTCATAGAGAAAATGGAGTGCTTTTGTCCTTTGGGCTTAGGGTTGGGTATATCTATGGTTTTATCAATGATCAATCTATTTATGAATTTTATTCCTAGTGTAATTATTTTTTAATTATTAAATTATTATTTCTAAAAAATTATTAATTTTTAAATTAAATTATCTTGCATCCTTGATTTTGGGTTTTGGTTCCACCACTACAAACAAACAAAATCCTACCACAACACACAAGCAACTACCTGCCTTTCTCTAGTCTCCACAGTGATCCCAACTATTCTTGTCCACCGATTTGTATGTGTTCTTTATTATTATTTGTCTAAACGCATCACGCAATTTGAAATTGCTTAACTTGCTTTGATTTGAAGATATTTTTTATGTTTAAATTTTCTAATTATCAATCATATTTTTAAAATTTTTAAAAATACAAATCGTCTAAACTTTCATGCTAGTTAAATAAGATTTAGACGAATGCTCTTACAAGTCACAACATAAGAAAGGTGCGCAAAAGCGTTGTGCTTCGCTGAAGCTAACTTGCATTTTCGGATCAAGTTCTCATCGATTCGTTTGCGTTGCTCATTACATACTCTTACGTTCTTGGATCCAAATTTGCAACATAAATAGGCCCATTTAAACAAAATGAGAAAGCCCAGACCCAAATAGAAACTATTCCCCCCCTCCCCGGCGCCTCTCTGGAATCTTCTTTTATTGGTGAACACATACAATTTGGGACCAACAAAATTTAATTTCATGTCAAGACCAAAATATTTGAAAATTGCTGTTTACAGTCTTTTGTCATTAATTAAGTAACCTGGGCTCTGGATTTTACGTCCATCGCTAAAATGTAATAATTTGTGACTCATATTTTAAATTTAAAAAACTTATTAGCCAATATTTGAATTTTGATTTTAAGATTTGATAATTTCAACCTAAATTCTAATATGAAGGTTTCAGCCAATATATCTACAGGAGTAGGAGTTGGAATTTTACATTTATGCTTTAAATTTTGATATTGAGATGGGATAAATTGTAACGTATGCCTTACATTTTAACACACAAATTTAAGAAACTTATTTTTCGAAGGATTTGACAGTTATCACTCCAAATTTGATTTTGAGACGGGAGAATTTGCAGCCCATGATCCAAATTTGCAATTTTATAATTTTGGTCTCAAAATGAAATTAAATGGTTCCTAACTGTCATTCCCGTAAATCTAAGACCCGCCGCTTTGTCTTCTTTCTTTCCTGATCTACTCCTCCTAAATTCGTCACCCAACTCTCTTCACCGGGGTTCTTCACCAGGTTTGCTATCCTTTATCTTTCCCCCTTGTTCATGGTGCGGCAACTACTTGGACTCAATTTTCGTTCTATTCATCTATTATCCGCGATTTTTTTTTTGGTCTTAAACGATTATTGTAGCTTTTTTTGTTTGTTTGTTTTTTTAATAAATCTCGGCTTTTTCCTATTGTTCTGTAGATCGATCAGTAGTGGTTTGCATTTTTCGCGATTCACGTCTCTCCCTCCTTCCTTGGCATTAATTGGTAAATATTCCAGAATTTCTAAATGTTAACCATATACGTTGTGGTTGAAATCCCGTGACCTTGTTCGAGTTTGTTCATAAATGTATGCGATTCTAAAGGGCTGCTAGCCATAAAAAGTGTGGAGATCATGGCTAAATGTATGTGATTCTAAAGGGCTGCTAGCCATAAAATGTGGAGATCATGGCTACCTTTCTAAAAAGTTCTTTGGTTGGATAGTAGATGATTCTGGAACCAAGAATTGCTTTTCTAGTTGTAGTTTATCTAATTTTGCAAGGGTTATGCGATCATCAGCACTGCAATATGCAGGCATAGGTATGCGCACATACTTGCAACTTAAATCAGTTTGCTTTGACTGCCAAGAGAGGGAGAGAACTCTGGCAGTATTTCGGGTCTTTTGTGTTTTTCTTTCTTCTTTTCATTGGTATCTCTGATTTTTTGTTGGTTATTACTCAATGATTGCCTCACATTTGTTGTTTCTTCAAGTGACGCGTTCTATGTTGATGTTTCTTGGCAGCAGCAGCAGGTTGAATATCAAAAAATGCCAAAAGTTAGGAGAGTGAAGTCCCCTTTGAATGAATGTAGGTCATCTCCTTACCCTTGCAACTCCAAAAATGCAGAGCAACACAGAGCCATGAATCAGTTGGGATCAGCTGAGAATGTGAAGGAATGGGTGGAAGCTAGGTGTCCAATCTGCATGGAAACCCCCCATAATGCAGTTCTTCTGAAATGTTCTTCTCATGAGATTGGCTGCCGTCCTTATATGTGCAATACCAGTCACCGGCACTCCAACTGCCTTGACCAATTTTGCAAGTCATATGGTCCTCATCTCTCGTCCTCAACACTTGAAGAAATCTCTCTTACCAGCACAGCATCTTGTGGCAGTTGCGAGGTTCAGGCAGAGCAACGTGGTAACCAGTCACACCCAAATCTTGTTTGCCCTCTTTGTCGGGGAGAAATTTATGGATACCTGGTTTTGGAACCTGCTCGTAAGTACCTGAACTCTAAACCCAGGAGTTGCTCCTCCGAGACGTGTGATTTCCAAGGCACATATTCAGAACTCAGGAAGCATGCTAGGTCTGAACATCCTTCTGTTCGACCATCGGAGGTAGATCCCATACGCCAGCGGGATTGGACAAGGATGGAACAGGAATGGGACTTGGAAGATTTCCTCAGCTTTTTGACTGGGGATCTGAGTGGCATGATATCCATGTTTTTGCATGATATTTTTTCTACTATGGAGGACTTTAATCGAACGACTGAAATGTTCAATGATTCAAGACTAGGAGCGCCGGTGCATGACAGAAGGTCAGGAACGGTGTACACCGAAAGAAATCGATCAGCTAGATGGAGAGCCAATATGTCTTCAACTCAAGAAGAGGGGATAAATTATAGAGGCAGAGGGAGATCTAGCATATCATCATCGCGTGATTGGGAGGTAAATCGTACAGCTAGATGGAGAACGAGTTTGTTATCCTCAAGAATGCCTCGTGATCTTCACCAGTACTGTAGGGAGGTTAGCCCGGGGGCTGACATGCCTTCAACCAGGATGCCTCGTGCCTTATCAAGAATCACTCGCAGTCCATACTGGAGAAACAGTTTTTCATTTCGAAGAAGAAATCACAGTGGTCAGCAGCTTCGATGGCGGGATCAAAGGTGGTCCATGCATAATGGCCTGTCATAAGATCAAATCTGAAAGAAGTAATCTGATATTCTGTGATGAGCACCGGTGTAATCATTCTTGACATTTCATAATTTTCCTTACACATATCTTTGTTTGGAAACACTTAATAACTTAACTTCTGTGATGATGCTTATAGATATGCAAGCATACTCGTACAGTGTATGACATGTAATAATGCCATAAGTCATGTTCAAATGTTAATTGTAATGCTGCATCATGGTATTAGACGAGAATGTGAGTTCCCGATGGGTGGTGTTCCAAAGGCGGCTGCTAGTCTGCTGTATAGGTTATTGAATTTTATTGCAGAGACTGCATCTTGTCAATTTATTTCGTTGTTGAGAGCAAGAATCAAATTTACATTTACAGTAAATATTAACAGATAAACACATCAGGTCAACGAAAGGATAACTAAACTAGCCAAAAAAGGCCAACGGAAAGATAATTAAATTAGCAATACCAATACCCGGCAAAAGAAACAATCAGTTCGGCAGATTTTTTGGCCACAGCAGATGATTTCATTTTACTCAAATTATGCAATACATTAATGCTTCGATGGTAGAGATTCAAAAAGCTGAAATTATTTTTTCATGATAAATCGCTATATTAAACTAAAAGAATTCAGGAGATTAAAAAAGACAGAACAGTTAGCGAATTCTTGAGTGCTATTTTTCTTCTTGGATAGATGGACATTCATCTGTTGGAAGTGCACGGGTAAATCATACAAAGCTAGTCTCACGAGAACAGACTTACATTCGACAAACTCAGGTCTCTCTATCAAGAGGAGAAAGGCATCGATCATCTTCCCTCGCTTCTCTTTTTAAGAAAGCAATATTTACATTTAAAGTTGACAGAAACTTGTAGAGCCTTATCGTCATTACTTTCCATTGAAGACATAAAGATTAAGTAAAATAAGCATGCTGAAATCCTTGGAAAACAATCATAACATAAATTAATATTTGAAAAATTGTCAGCCTGCTTTTGATGTTCTAGTTACATTTGGCAGGACAACTGAAGCTAAATCCCCTGGATAAGGCGTCCACAAGCCCAATCCTCCCCTGCTTTCTTTAAGGCTATTATTCTTAAGTTGATCTAACTGTTTGACCCACTCTATGGGAGAAGAATGCTCTCTTGTGTGTGGATGCAACAAAAACAGTGAGTTGTACTCACAGTTGGGAAACATGAAGAATTTGAACGCGTCCCCTAATCTGTACACAACATAGCCAAAACTCAGTTGATCCCTTGGGGTGAAGAGATGAACCTCATTGAACCACAAGCAGCTAAACAAGTTGTTCATTGAAGTATGTTCACGAATAATTATCGCTCCCTCTGGTACATCTGCAATACCATCAACTCTTGTCAACAATACCATCTAACAAGTACTTGAAGTGCTGGATTACTGATCTTTCCATATCATGGAGATTAACTCATTCAATACAGAAACCCTAATAAAATCATAATTTGTATGTATTCCTCTGAACTTTCCTTTTAAACTGACAAAGTATCATTGTTGAATATAAACTACTCCCTTTGGTCTTATGTATAAAGGTACTTCCAGTATGTTTTACCGAAATTAAAAAAAATTTTAAATTTTATTAACTTTGTCTTGCAATTTAATAAGTTTTGACTTCTACACGCTAATAAAGGCAATAAGAATTATTTTTAATAATTTTTTGTAATAAGAGAGGAAAATTAAAGATGAATATAAAAAATAACGAAGTGTCCTATAAATAAAATCAAAATTAATATTCTCTCTTTATCCTATTAATAGGATTAGAGGAGTAAACAATAATACCTGATATGGATATAGAATTCTATAGAACTGCATTAACTTTATCTTCCTCACAATCATTACAAGTCTCCAAACTAGAGAAAAATTCAAATCATAAATGACGAAATTTGTCCTGTCACCAGGTGCACCCATGCCTTACAAGACTCTTCAGAGTTATAAAAATCTTCAGACTCTGATAGGTTCATGCAGGTTGTGCTGTGTTACTTGTGCTGACGAGAGAATTATGTATTCGTACTTATTTCTTTTGAATTAATTTAGTTAACTTCATCATGGGTCATGTGCTATTATTCTAAGTTTTTCATCGAAGTACGACAGACCAAGTTGTAGTTGAATTACAAATAAAATACATAACCAAAAACTCTTGTTTCCAGTCTTACCACTAATGGTCCTCTTCATCGGATTCCATGGCTTCATTCCTTCATAATAGTAGATTTTCATGTGCAGATCAATTAGGGGGCGTGCATATCGCTTTCTTCTTTTGTTTGCATCAGCTTCCTCATATATGCTTCGGTGATACTTATGCTGGGCAATGGCAAATGTATGATTCCCACGCCATAAGTATCTGCATGGCAAACAATACGAGTTATTTCCATCTTCACCATCATCATCACAATCAAAACTGGAGTTACCAAGTTTTAAAATAATAAAACCTATAATGCATTGAATCCCACTGGGATGTGCTCATGACTTAGTTAACGAAAATTGAAAAGCTAATGAAAAAAATGGGAAAATTATACTTTAACCCATCTGGCTTCTGGCATTCAATGATTTATAAATGACCACCAAATTTTATTTTTTTAATACTATGACTCTAAGATTTATTGTGGTATTTAGGTTGGAAATACCAACATTTTCTGAAAATATGCTCATATTCAGCACAAGGAACCTATGTGTTGAGCGCACATAAATACAATGGATGAACTTCTAGCATTTTAACAGGGGAGATCCTAAACGTCCCCAGAATAAAACTTATCACTTGTCTAGAATAAGTCTTAAGTTGCTTTTAATACCATAAGGAGTGTCAGTGTGAAGATAAACCATTAAGGGATGACTTCAGAACAACAAATACCAAGAGTCATTTGATCGTTTTTTACAGTATGAAGATCAAAACACACACGAGACAAGAAAGTCCATAATAATATTTTGGTTCTATTAGGGTATGGTATTTAATGCCTAAAGTCATAAAGAGAGAAAAGAGTACTATATTGGTAACAAAGATTTCACATAGAGAATACGGAAAAACACATAAACTTGAGATCTTCAAGACCATGTATCCAGGAATCATTTCATGCAATCAACAGTTATGAAAAGGATGCGAGACATTGGATTCAAAATCTGACAGCTCCAACCTTCTTATTTACCTTCTCAACCCCCCACCCAACAGATGCATAAATGTTCAAAAACCAATATATAGACACTGAATCATACATTCACATATCAGAAAGACTAGACGAATAGTATAAGCACCTCTCAAGGATGAGCAATGGATCAACAATCAGCTCCATTTTACCATCAATCCAAATACTATACTGTGCTTGAGGGAACAGCCTGTGGGTTAAGATCTTGGGAACTTTTCCATTCCTTCTTGGTTCATCATAGGGTTGATGCTTAAGTAAAACAAGACGCCAAATTCCCACCCATTTTCCGCCATCATTGTCTTCTTTAACAGTAGCATTTTCCTTGATGAATTTCAGAGATATTTCATCCACCACCATGAGAAAACAAAATAGCTCCTTAGAACGAAAGCTAATATTTGATGGCTGCTGAGGCACATCATATCCATCAAAAATACCAGAAGCAACAACGAATTTGCATTTCTTGACAAAATTTGTGTCCACAGTATCCATTTCAGCACCACCCCCTTTCATAAACCCACAGTGAACCTGAGGGGCCGAGCACATGTTAAGCAAAACTCATCCCAGGTGGAAGGAAATGGCAATATACATTTGTAAGATTATGGAAAAATGAATGACAGTGGATAATGGTGAGCAATTTTTACCTTCATGGTTGAATTCAGTTTGAAACTCTCCTCCCTTTGAGACCAGCTTTGATGGCCTCCAAATAGAGGAGGTGCCTGAGGTTCATTATGTGGAACTTCATCTTTGTCAATATACAATAAATTTTTCACAATTTCATCAAAACTTTTTCCAGTTGGAATGACTATTTTATCAGGATCATTTGCAACCGGGATTGGACATCCTGGTAAATACAAGCAAAAATTGATATGACAAATTATTTAGGTGAAAAGCATAGAAGGATTAGAATCTGTTATAATCTTACTGTGAGGTTTTGATACAAATCCCATTGTGTCTAACATCGAGTAAACCTTGCTTTCTTTGTTACATATAGCTGCAAGTGAAGCAATAAGGTATCAGAAAAAGGAACACATCATTCACAATTTTGGTGAAGAAAAGGGAAGGTATAGAATATTTAATTTCTATGAAATTTCCTTGGAGCATACAATCTAATACCCCAAAGAACATCTCATATAGCTATAATGCTAGTTATAGCATAGCAAGTTTGGAAATGCATTAATCAAGTTGAATATATTTGTAGTTCCAAACTTCAATATAGTCTTCTTAAGGAATCACATGTAGATGATGTATGTGACAAGAATCCTACCAGATATGCAAGCGTGTGTGACAAGCTTGCTGTCCTAAAACCCTTTATGAAACCCCATCTAACCATTAAGAGAGCAAAGGGGAAACAAAAGAGAATAAAGGGAAAATCAACCCAACGACAACATCATCCAATGTTTCTAAAAGTAATTTTCTGTTCCTAGCTCTAACAAGAAATTAAGAGTTCCTTGTGTTCCTAAATTCACTGTCAACGCTCATGAAGAAATGGGTTATTTTTACATATTCTACAGTACAGGAGACACAAGAGAGAGTGAAGCCAAATTTATACTATAAATGAAATATCCAGAATGCTAAGTCTAAAGACCTTTATCTGTATATTACATAGAACTGCTTCAAACACCTGGTTTTGTCATACCAGGCAATAAAACGCAGTGCAGTGAATGGAAATAGAGGTGGCTGTTCATGGAGACTTTAGAAAACAGCCAAGAAATAACCAATACCTGACAAAAAGGAGACAGATGATTGACAAGACCATATATGGAACAACAATGCAATAAGAATCAATAGCATCCACAAGATCCCGGTAACAAGAACCAGCCGAATAAAGCCTTTCTTCCAAACAATCTTCATGGGGTAATCTTGGGATAGTCTCCCTGAAGAAAATAAGCTCGCTTCAAAATCTGCACCATCAACATCAAATTTAACCCATCTGCCAGAATAGTAAAACCTCAGTGTCTTGTGAAAAACTTTCCTACCAAGAAATATTAAAAGAAGGAGAAAAGAAAAAAGACAAATGAATGAATGCTTTCTCAACAACACCCAAAAAAAATAAACATACAATACAATCATCTACTACTGCCAAAAGAGTGCCATCTCAACGAACAAAAAATAAAAAAAAAATCAAACAATCTTCAATTTCTTGCACCTGTCACTGAAAAGGGAAGTCATATGAAGTAAGAGGTGCTCATCAACTAAAAGAAGTATTTGAAAGCATTAGCGGAGGAGAATAGCTGAGTTCTTCCCCACCTTTAACATTTGTATTCTGGCTACTTCGTTCTCCTCTCCGATTTAGCCGAAAAGAGACAGACTTTTGAAGGTCGCCCTCCATATTGGCTTCTCTCTTTATCTTCTCATTGCTGATTTGCTGGAACATATAAGGGGAATATATATCAGGGAAGATTATAATTTTAACACAAGTGCATCCTAACACTAAAACTAGCGGGGACATTCTATGTTGCCCCAAGTCCATTATAGTGTCATTAAAGATCCACAGTCATTAGACTCCAACGGCTGAATCGAGTCCTTCATCGCGAAAGTTCCCTCGACCAGTTTCAATTAGAACCAAATAAAAACCAAAACTTCAACAGAATAAAAAATTAACAAGAAAAAAGAAATGCAAAGAAAACAGGAAGAGCCAAAAGAAGATAGGCGAACCGAGGAGCATATCCAGAGGCCACTTTTACGGTGTCGGTGTTTCAAAGAGGTGCACATCGAAATAATCATTCAGGTGCAGTTTGAGAAATCGTAAATCAGTGTAGGACGAAGTTGATACCTGCAAGTGAAAACCAAGCAATATATCGCAAGGGGATGGAGCAAAACAGATGATGAAGATTTATGGGAGAGGGATCCGTGGAACGGGTAGCCGATTTAAATGACCTGAGAATGGAGGCCACAGATCTGTCTTCAGTTACAGAAGCGTAGGAAAGACTGAAGTTGAGAATTAATTAATTAATTAATAATTGATAATTTAGTTAGTAATCCACTGCCCGCCATAATTTATTCGCGAGCACCTCACATGTAGATAGCCCGACCTCTACTGCCCAAGCAACGGGTCCATTAGTCAGCTACCATACGGGGCCTGAAGGTCGGGCCTGGCTGTCGACTTTTATAGGCTCAAGTTTATCAATACGATTATCTTAAAATTATATATTTTTTAAAATTTAGCCAACCTTTATTTAAAAATTTAAGGTTAGACCTACAAGCTTGTTTACATTATTTTTTTTATTTTTTTAGATTTTTAAAATTTAAGGTGTTTAATTATAATATTTTATATTTTTCAAAAATATAAATTATAATAATTAAAAATAAAAAATAAATAGCATAAATCTTAATTTTAAAATATAAATGGAGTTGAATTTTTTCTTCAAGGAGAGTAAAGGAGAGACCTGTGTAGAATTGAATCATTAAACTGGATTTAAAAATTTTGATTTAATAATTTTTAAAAATATAAATTTAACTTAAATAGTTTAGATTTGTAGTAGAAAAAAAAGCATAAGAAAGAAACCTACCCCAATATAAATATATAATCTAAAATTTAAATTTAATTTACAAATAAAAATATTTTATGTTAGGAGTAAAATAAAAAGGACAGCCACATTTATGTTCCTTTTTTTAGGGTTCATGAGGGATGGGCCTCAAAGTCTAATTTTTTTTTTTTAACTTGAGTTCTTATAAAAACAAATTTAAATGAGTAGTTTATTAGACTTAACTCTCATTCTTGAGTTATTTATCAATTCTCATAAAACTTAAGTGACTCTAATTCTTTCTAAGTTTTACAAGAACATGTTGATTTTAATTAATTATTTTAACCAATGGGTTGTTATACTTTATATATCTATTTATCCATGCAAAGCCATACTGTTTATCAAGTGGAGGACATGACCATTGATCTCAGATTCATGAACTCAAAGCTTGCTTATTTGGAAAGAAAAAAGGTGGATAGTTTTTTTTTTTTTTTCCTGGGAAATACAAGGAGTATGCTCAACTAAAAATAGATAATATCTCTCGAGATACTGAAAACAATAAATAAGTTTCTTTCAACTGAATTGCTGCATAGGTTAGGGCTAAGATTCAGACCCCAACTATTTGCTTAGATTAGTTTTAAATTTTATTTAAACAAGAGAAAAATAAACAAAAACTTCAATGCTATAAAATAATATTATAGGTGTAAAATAATAATTTATGAATAATATGATGTGTTATAGATTTTATATTTAATTGACAGGAAGGGAAAAGGTAGAAAATATTAAAATGGCATAAAAGATTGAGGATTTAAAGGTTTATTACTGGATTTTTTTTAAAAATAATTGTAGATATCAAAAGGCGTATTACCCGCGCATGGTAGAAAATGTTTCGTCCATGTATAGTTTGGCTTTGGATAAACGGGAGCCTCATTTTCTTGAGGATTGTTACTTTGCATTTGTCGTTGCAACTTGGATGAACGCCAGCCTCAAGTTCCTTATGTACATATTCGCCTAGATTCCTTCTAGTTTCAGCTTGGAGTGCTGTAAACTGCTTCTCTCCTATCTTCGTCCCTCGGTTGAGCTTCCAGTCTGTTTGCTAAGATGGAATCTTTGCCGGCTTTCTCTGTTCCCTCACTTCACATTTCAACTGCAACTGCACCTGGTGTGATCTCGTCCGTCAGAAAACCTATGTTCTTCAACGTCCAACTCAACCCAGCACTCTCTTTACCTGACAGGAAGAAATTAAAATCCAGGCTTTTTACTGCTTTATCCCCTACTGTCTCAACAGAACTCAGCACCGACCCGCCTGTGGATGACCCGGAAATTGAAGGCTCAACCCAGAAATTCGATTGGTATTCACAGTGGTACCCTGTAATGCCGGTGTGTGACCTTGACAAGAGGGCACCGCATGCCAAGAAGGTGATGGGTATCGATGTGGTCGTGTGGTGGGATCGAAATGAGGGTGCCTGGAAGGTGTTTGACGATACATGTCCTCATAGACTGGCTCCTTTGTCTGAAGGGCGGATTGATCAATGGGGGAGGTTGCAATGTGTTTACCATGGCTGGTGTTTTGATGGCTCTGGGGATTGCAAGCTCATTCCTCAGGCACCTCGTGATGGTCCTCCGGTAATGATTCCTTCCATATTTCGAGCAATGTCAGGAGCAAGAGATTTTTATTTACTAGTATCCATGGTCCAATTTTAGGTTCCAAACCTAATAATAGTTCTATCTATTATTCAAAACGGCATAAAAGGATCCAGAACAAACATCGTGTTGGCTCAACATTATTAAAACTATGAGTTAAAATTATTTCTGGCAGACAAGTACGTGGTTTTTTCAGCTCGTCTCCCTCTGTCCTTTCCGATGTTCTGGGAAATAGACTCTCTCTATACCCTTATACAGGAAAAGGGGAGACGAGGGGGTTGATGGGCAGTCGAGATCGACTGTTTGTTGTCTTGTTTTCCTATGGCGGCATATGCTCTATGCTAGCCTAATCTTCATGCATACAGTATCTGATGGCATTTAACTTTGCTACCGAAATTTGCAGATTCACACCTTCAAAAAAGCATGCGTAGCTGCTTATCCAAGCACCGTGCAGAATGATATCTTATGGTTTTGGCCAAACACGGATCCTCAATACGAAGATATTCTTTCAAGAAAGAGGCCTCCATACATTCCAGAACTGGATGATCCATCTTTCACTAGATTAATGGGAAACAGAGATATTTCTTACGGGCATGATTCTAAGACTAGAATTCTTGTTTCTTTATCTTCAGATTGGTTACATATGGGCTTATAGTCTGTTACATGTCAAAAAAACTGAGCCATTCCTATGTCGGTTGTCCTTGTGATAGGATCATAGGAAATGTTGGAATAGGAAATTAGGCACTGTGCCAGGTGTAATCAAAGAAAGTTTTCCTTTCATAGTTCAAGTAACTAACTAGGAAACTTGTGCAATTTCAGGTACGAGGTACTGATAGAGAATCTTATGGATCCAGCCCATGTTCCATATGCGCATTATGGGTTAATGCGAACTCAGCAACCAAAAGGTAGATGTAACGTATGAACTTGAGTAAGTTCTTGGTTGCTTTATATATGACACTTACTATGTAGGACTACATTGACTTCACAGAGAAGACTGATAGAGAAGGGGGCAGACCACTTGAAATGTCAATAGAGACGCTAGACATCAATGGTTTCACAGGAGATCAGACTTGGAGCAAAGCCAAATTTATGGCACCATCTATTTTTTATGCTTATACTAACCCAGATCAGCCTAACGTCTCTGCGTCATCAGCTGATGCTAAGGTAAAGGTGATTTGCAGGACAGCAAGTGTGCCAAGAATATTTTAATAAGTATGTGGTTTATATGAATTTTAATACATTTTGACTGGGCTGTTGCAGAAATCATCAAGTCAAAGGAAGTTGGCTTTGATTTTTGTTTGTATTCCAGTTAGTCCAGGTAAAAGCAGATTGATATGGACCTTTCCGAGAAACTTTGGACTGTGGATTGACAAAATTGTGCCAAGATGGATATTTCATGTTGGACAAAACCTGATTCTGGATTCTGATTTATATCTTCTTCATGTTCAGGTGATTCCATTTCATTTCAAAATTATTATTTATCCAGGTCGCTTATTGATTCCAAAAGTCATTATAATATTCATCTGCAAGATATTATTGACTTTGGATTGCACGGAGCCTGAAACCAAGCAGATTTATTTGTATCCCACAATCCCGAAAATGACATATCCAATTTCATAAGAAAGCCCATAGAGGCTGCTATCAGAGAAATTAGGGTATTCTGCTCGTCCCTGTGCTGTTTATTTGTGGCAATTCACGATAAAAAATTATTAATAAATGATATAATCACTAAGAATTCCTGTTACTGTTAAGCATATGATGGGCAGTGGCACTCTAGTAGGGAACCCTCCCGGCCTCCCCCAGAAGCTAAATTATGAAGCCGTGTGATTTGTGATTTGAAGGTGCCTCACACATTGTATAAGCTATTTAATATCTAAATCGGCATATGCATGTGAGAACCAATTGGATTTTTGTTAGGATATTGTCGTCCAGTATAAGTCAACTTGTTACCATAAGTAATCATTTGCTGCTTCTGTGTATCTTGATGGTCAGGAAATCTTGCTACATCAGGGATAAAGAACCATGTTTTTTTTTCTTGATTGCTTTTTAACCATGAGTATGCTATGTTTATGAAAGCTTGAATTTCTTCAAATTTGGATCACTCAACTTTGGCAATTTGTCTTTATTAATGAACTTCTTTCCCATTTCCTTGTAATGATATTAATAAGAAACTTATGTTCCCATTAATCTTTTGAAATTGACTATGAGTTGACTGGTCAAGTTTTTTGCTACTTGAATTATTTTGGTGTGGTTCAAATTGTTGCCAAAGTGATTGTAGTTAATGAATAGGTCCTTCATAAACTGTTGCTGTATATTTCCACTCATGCTGGCCCTTCAATTTTTGAATCTCTTAGATTAGAAGCATCTATACGAAATAGTGGAGAAAACATCCACCATAGATACTTAAACAACCAAGTTCTGCTATATCCTAGCCAGCAGTATTCTGTTATAATCTGGTTACGGGAAAACGTTTTAATAATACACTTACTCATATTTGGTTTTTAAATTTTGTTGACAGGAACATAAAATAATGGATATCGGACCTTCCAATTGGCAGAGAGCCTGCTTTGTGCCAACAAAATCAGATGCCTTTGTGATTGGTTTCAGGAAGTGGTTGAAAAAGTACTCAGGTGGTCAAGTTGACTGGAGAGGAAAATATAGCGGGTTTCTTCCTCCAACTCCTCCGAGAGAACAGCTAATGGATAGGTAGCTACGACCATTTGGCTCCTTGATTCAGCTTCAGTTTTTATTTGTTTTTCGAAATTTTTTTCAATTTCCTCTTAAAATGAGCGGCCATTATGGCAGGTACTGGACTCACGTGGTAAACTGCAAGAGCTGCGAATTAGCTTATAAGAGTTTGAATGTGGTGGAAGTGGTGCTGCCGATAATATCAGTTGCTTCAGTGGGGATTGTGGCGGCAATGAAGGAGGGTACGTTATCAGTCGCCGCAAGAAATTCCCTGGTTGTGATGGCAGTACTGTCATTTGCAGTGTCAAGATGGTTAGGTCACTTCATCTACAAGAATTTCCGTTATCATGACTATAATCATGCCTTCCGCTGAAAAGGGCGTTTCCGGTAACAAAAACAATTTGCAGAACTCCTAATACTTCTTATGCCCATTGTACAGAAAAGCCTTTGTGGGGAAGAACATTTAGATAGCGTTGCATATGGCAACAAGTAATTAAATGCATCGGCCACTTGTTTGCTTGAATATAACACTGGTAGTACCCGGATAAGCCATGGCAAAATCAGTGATGCTTGTGTTTGGAAATGTTATATAGGCAGGAGGAGGAGGAAAAGGAGTTCATGCCTGTACAGTGAAAAGTGATAATGTTTGCTTCTGCATTGCTAAGTAATGAAACAACGTCACGTAATCATGCGTGTTTTGTGGAAATTTGAGGCGGATGGATTACTCAGATTGAAGAAGAGGAGTTCATGAAATCATAACTAATGAAACACAGTAACAGCATTGCATCATCACACACACAGATGGCAATTATAACAATGCATTTGCTAACAATAACTCTATTTTAATGAAAGAAACAGATATGCCATGAACTGAACTATATGTTGATATTTGAAAGATTACTATCCCAACAATGACAAGGTCTCATTGGGTGGGGTTTGCCACATGAATTGTATGATACTGCCTTGTTCTATTAATAACTAAATTTTTAGATATATTGTTTATTAAAATGTTTTATTCAATAATCTCATTGAATGTTTTCTCTAACTTTTCTCTATCTCTCTTCACATGATTTAAAATTATCTATTTCATTATTTTACCGGTGCCTCTCAACTTTTTTTTTGTTATCTTAGTCACCAAAAAAAAAAAGAAAACAAAAAGATATTATCAATTTAATATTTTGTCAAATTTTATATTGACAATTTAATATTAAAGAATATTGGTCTATCGATAAATCATTAATGTGACTCATCTTCAATTTAGTGGCCGAGTACAAAATGTATTTTTAGTTAACAGATAATGCAAATAACTTAACAAATGAAATAGCAATTCCATTATATTTGTTGGTCTAAAAGATACTCCCTTTATTGAAAAATATAAGGCATCTTTTAAAGGATTGGATGTTTAAAAATATAAAGCATTTTTATTCTTTCAAGATGTAATCATTATCTTTTTTTAAAAGTGTACTTATTGATAATGACTTTATATTTATTATAGGGTATTTAATAGGGGTAAATATGAAAAGATAGAGTTAATTTAAAAGTAAATAACTACTTTATTGGAAGGTGAGATTCGATTAAAAATGATTTATATTTTTTAATAGAGAGGAAGTACAATTAAATTATATTCCAAGAAATAAATAAGTTTTTCCTCTTTTAAATATCCCCTAAGGAATGAATGCAGGAAATAGATTTGGATAGGAATAAATTATTAAATTAAGATTTTAATTTGAACCATACTTCTTGTCCTGTAACTTTGTTCTTTGGCCAGAAATATTTCTTTTTCTATAACTAATCATGGGAAATGTTCACAAATTTTGTATGAGTGTCTTCAATTCTTTACATTGAGCTTGATGATAGTAAAGATTATCGAGTAACGAAGAATCTACACGTGTCATGTCGTGGTGAGCTAAGTGCCCGTTTGGATAATTAGCTTTTCACATCCCAAAAGTACTTTCTCACTTTTGGGATGTAAAACGCTGTTTGGAATAATTTTATGAAACCAAATGTACTTTTCAGAAGGACTTCCTAACCCAGCTGAAACGTAAAATTTTGGAAGCTCCATCGAGTAGCTTTTGAAACGGAAATGTGGATATGAAATATTAAAGAACAGTACCTAATTTTATATTTGACCATGATATCCTCAATTATTTTCTCATTCTTGTCGTGCAATCGAGCCTCATGTCTTCACTGATTCATTCCCATCTCTGCTCGAGCTCCTCATTTCTGATCAAATTTGGGTTTTTTCAAAGGCTTGGCTTTTCCACCCACATATCCAAACATTAATCTCAGGCGGAAAGAAAAATAAAAGCACTAGTAAACAGATCAAAGCACAAGGGTTTCATAGATCAAAAATAAAGGGAAAAAGCACAAGTTCAAAACATAAGAAGAGTCTGCCAAATCGGAGAATCAGGTGATTCCTGTGACCGACATCGGAGAAGGAGCTACCTTACCTGGACGACATGGTTGCGATGTAGAGCTAGGGTTCAGTCCAAATCCAGAAGCAAGAAAACCTTTCTCCAGCCTCGTGACCTTTCCCCCTCCCACAATGGCCTCTCGTGAATTCTGCCAGCCATAAAAGGCAAAAGCAACATGCCCTTTTTCATTAATAAAAAAATAAATAAAATGCATAAACAGTAAAATGATTACATAATTTATTTTAATATTAAACTTTATATTTTTATCCAAATTTTTTTAACATTTTTAACATATTATATTTATATAACAAATATTATCAATTATTATAAATCAATATCCTTTTTTATCATTATATATTTAAAAGTATATTTTAAAAGTATAAATTTTTATTAATTTAAATAACTTTTAATTTATTAAATTGACTTTAAAAAAATTGCATTCAAATATAAATTTTATTAAAATAACTGACTTTCATCCAACTGATTTTTATTAAATAAACTTTCATTGATTTTTTATAAACTAAAAATTGAAGGCACACTGGATTAGAGTTACAGTGGAATTTGAACCGACTTGATTCGGATCGGCCATCAACGTCACAGCCACAGCCACAGCCACCGCCTTTGTAAGCCCTTCTCTTACGCTGTCTTCCATGTTCTTCCGTCTTCTCTTTCTCCAATAATTCCCCGTTTTCTCTGTCACTCCTAAGTTCTGACTTGCCTCAAATTCTGGGTTTCCAAAGAAACCCATGAAAGAATCGAATCCTGCCACTGAGCCCATTGGGCAAAACCTCATCAAACTTATTAGCAATCTCTGCTTTTCTGTCTTCGTTTTCTCAGTACTCATTTTTACTGTCATTGCCATCACCTACCAACCCCCAGATCCATGGCTGGAATCTGCTCCAGCTCTCACTAAGCTCTTCACTGAATCCGAAAACGCCACCTTCCAAACTGACAATTCCGTAATCAAAACTGGTGAAGATTTGCCATCCGTCCTTCCCCCGGCCGCTTCCCCCAATGCCGCTGCAACTCCAATCACAGAGGCGGCGATCGAGAAGATCGAGAAGCAAATCACAAATTCCACCCCGCCGCAATCAGACTGCGAGGAAGTGGGTTTCGTGAATTGTTCCGATCCTCGTGTGTTGATTGCGGTGGAAAAGTTTAATCTCAAGGTCTTCAAGTCCATTGCGTTCTTGGAGTATCAGACTCCGGTTAATGGGTCTAAGCCTGACGAGTGTGATGTCGCATGGAGGTTTCGGAACAAGAAGGAGAAGTCATGGCGAAAGTATAGAGATTTTAGGAGGTTTAAGTTTGGTGTTGGAGAGAAATGTACATATAAGGTAATGCATTCTGGTGGTTGGCATTCGGGCTTAAATGCCAGGCGCCCCAGGAGCAGAATCAATGCAACAAGGGCTGGTGGAAATCCTAAAGTTGCCCCTCAGATCCGTGATGATGAGATCAATGACACGATCCCCAGTTTGGGGTCAGAGATGAATTTTAGGAAGGGGAAATACTTGTATTATTCACGTGGAGGGGATTACTGCAAGGGAATGAATCATTACATGTGGAGCTTCTTGTGTGGCTTGGGTGAGGCAATGTACTTGAACAGAACATTCGTGATGGACTTGAGTATGTGCTTGTCTGCAACTTATAACCCCAGTAACAAAGACGAGGAGGGAAAGGATTTTAGATATTACTTTGATTTTGAGCATCTAAAGGAGACAGCAACTGTTGTGGAGGAAGGTGAATTTTTGAGAGATTGGAAAAAATGGAATAAAAGCCATAAGAGGAAAGTGCCAGTTAGGAAGGTTGTGAGCCATATGGTGACACCACTGCAGCTTAGGAAGGATAAAAGCACTATCATATGGAGGCAGTTTGATGCCCCGGAGCCAGAAAATTACTGGTATAGAGTATGTGAAGGTCAAGCTGCAAAGTACATTCAAAGGCCATGGCATGCTTTGTGGAAATCAAAGAGATTAATGAACATTGTTTCAGAAATTAGTGGTAGAATGGACTGGGATTTTGATGCAGTCCATGTGGTTAGAGGGGGGAAAGCACAAAATAAGGAGCTATGGCCTCATTTAGATTCTGACACATCACCTGATGCTCTTCTTGAAAAGCTTAAAGGGATGATTCAGCCTTGGAGAAATTTGTATATTGCCACCAATGAGCCATACTACAATTACTTTGATAAATTGAGATCTAATTATAAGGTCCATTTGCTTGATGATTACAAGGAATTGTGGGGTAACACTAGTGAGTGGTACAATGAAACTATGCTTCTAAACAATGGAAAGCCTGTTGAGTTTGATGGGTACATGAGAGTTGCAGTGGATACAGAGGTCTTTTATCGGGCCAAGACACGTGTTGAAACATTTTATAATCTCACTAAAGATTGTAAGGATGGAATTAATACATGCTGATCAGGTTGGCAAAATTTTATATGCTTCTTCAAATTAATGGTTTAACATTGTCTTCCTCATTGATCCAGGTTCAGATTCATACCATGGGGTTTCATTCAAGCTTCTTGAGTTCTTGTTGTACTTGCATGTTCTTATATTGTATTGGTTACTGATGAATTATGTTAATTGTCTTGATTTTATATACCTTCTATAGAATATCCTCTCTCCATCTTGTTTCTTGACTTTTTGCATTGCTTTAGAAGTTGATGGACTATATGCTATTCTCGTCCCATTAAATATTTGTTGACTCCACGACCTGATCAAATAGTAACTCCATTATGGTCTTGAAGGCAAGGTTAACGTTAATATTTCAAAGCCTAGACTTTCATGTGATGTTTGGAAAATGACTTTGTATTTAATCAGAAGAGGTTAGAAACAGGTAAGGGCCTATAAACTTTTTCATAAGCATCAATGCGGGTAATCAATAATTGAACTGTGTAGTTATGTCTTTGCAATGGATGTTATGCTAAGTATCAATGGATATAGATGTCGTATTATCTCATCTTTAAACACGGAAAGCAGTTTCTTGGTGATTCTTCTAACCGGCTATGCCTATTTTCCTTGTTTTGATGCTTACAGCATAAGATTTTTTTTTTTTTAAAGAAATGTTATTGATAGGTGAAAGAAATTAATGTGGGTGGGGGGGGGGGGGAGGTATCTTCCCAGAAACAGGTCAAAGACGAAAACTAAATTACAAGAGTAGACGAACTAGAAATTTGCTATGCAGCAAAAATGCCCAATCCCTTTAGAGACATTCTCTTGAAGAAGCCTTGAGCCAAACACCACAAACTTACAGAGACTCGCCCAAGCAAAATCCTTGCCCGTAGGGGTAGGGCATATTAATATAAGAAAGTACCCTTGAAAATAGGGACGTTCTGCTGTAGCCAAATATTCTCATTTCAACAAAAAACAACACCTGGCCATAGATTGTTAACGCTCTTGATTCTGCCAAATCCTTTGAATCATCTAAGCAAAAACCTCTATAAACCTATGGAAATGCTCATTTATCTCCAAAGACCCTGAACAATTTATCCAGAATGAAGTATCCACTTGCCAATGTAAAATATCTGAGCTCCAGTTGGTGCATTATTGAAGCACACTATGCAAATGTTAGGAGGCAATTATGAGTTAGGTCTATGAATTTGCTCATGCTGTTTGTGTTATTCTATTGGATATCACCGTTCAATTAGAGGTTTTGACTTTTCAAGGAGCTTTAGATTTTTCAAATTTGTTTATCTAAAAGAAAAACCTCCTTAGTATGAGAGGATATAAGAAAGTAGGATTTACACGTCTGCACACGGATCTGTAGTATCTATGTTCCAAGCTGGGGCAAACACTGTCAAGAAGAGGCAATGGAGTTTATAATTTGATTTGAATCTGTACTAGAAAGATCCTTCGTAAAGTAAAAAATTGCAAGAATACATATTCCCCTAATTGAAAAACGGTATTGAAGGTCTTCATCTTGATCATGTGAAATTTGCTTCTTTAGCCCAATGGGTTTAAAATCATTGCTGGGTTCCCACTTCATATCCAACACGAGTTTTGGGTTTTCTTTCCACATTGAACCATGAATGTATTTGCGTTGAGTGGAAGCCAGCCCGCTTAAAATATCTGAATAGGGAAGGGGTTTGATTGGTAATTTTTTTTCCTTAAAAAAAGTTAGAATTTCCTTCAATAGGTATATTTAGTCCAGCTTTTTTTAATTTCTTTTGGCTCTGGAGATCAAAATATTGATTTTGACAGTATTTTCAATTATTTCAAATCTTGGCAATCGCAGCTTACAAAGCCTGTCATGGCTCATAATCACATAACTGCCATTAGCGTGCAAGGACAGACAGATCCTTTTTTAACTGACGAACTATAGGTTCTGAATTTTTTTCTTGTCTAGCTTGAGCTTAACTTGCTGGCTGCTTCAGACTTCAGAGGCATGGACAGACGGGGAAATTGCAATTTTATTCTAAATACAAATTACTGTGAATCTGTACTACTATTTTTGCTCCAGTTCTCCCGTGATGCCACCTGTTCGTGCACGGGTGTGTAGTCCTGCAAAAGCAGAAATTGTTTGTAAACATGGAGCACAGTCGTAACTTGTTAGCAAATCTTATATATAGGGCGAATTATTTCACGGAACTGATATGCAGAAGGGAAAATAACAGGGATCACTTCCCCTCACTCATCAATCGAGTTGGCCTTGGAATCATGCTTATTGGATCACATTTACTTTTGCTATTGTTGAGGAGAGGAATGAAGAAGCGGCTGCGATGAGGTTCAAAATTATAGACAGGCGCATGTTGGTTTGACACGAGAAGGGCTGTTAATGTGACAGCTTTTAAAGATGAACATCAATTTGTCTGTTGTAGTGACTTTTGGGTGTGAGGGTGAACAGGCAAGGAAGATTTGATGTCACAAGTATTGATTGATTAGCAAAGGTTGGGGGAAGGCACGGCTGATTAATTTTTAAAACAGCGGAATAGAATTTAAATTCCTTGCTATGGATTTTGGAAAGATCAAACAAGTACACAGAGGGACTGTTACCTCCGTTTTGCGGAGAAGCTCCACTGCGGTGGTCGCGGAGATGACAATAGTCCCGGCGGAGGGTTTGATGAATCCCTCTTCAACTCCTTTGTCGAACAATCCAAGCAGGCAATCGTAGTAGCCATCCACGTTTAAAATCCCAACCTATCGTCGCCACATTATCATGTTTCATTCGGCAGCAGCAGCTGCACTCTTATTCTTGTTTATTTTATATTCTTTCCATTTTAAAATATAAGCATTTTCTCTTAGTTAATATTGATTTAAAGTATGAGCAATGTAGTACACGTAAAAAGGTTTTTTTTTTTTTTTGCATTTTATCCCTTATATTTATTAATTTAAATCTTCATATAAATGTACCTTTCATTTTTCATAGAATGTAGTGGTATTTAGGATTAGAGTTAAAAGAGAAAAATAATATAATTTTTATGGAAGTGAGGATTTTATTGGAATGTAGATTAAAAAAAAAAACTCTTCACATTTTGAATTGGAGGGAGTATTTGTTTGTTTGTTTGTTTGTTTTTTCTTTTTTCCTTTTTTGTACCGGTGAGTGTTACTTAATTTCAAATCAGTTTTGTAGTCTGCGCTCCCAAATCGGATACTTGAACCTCAAGATTAGCCTAAACAATGGTTGTTACGTCATAATCATGACTGTTCCCATCACACTTTAGAATGGATAGCCACTTGCAGCCTTGGAGATGGGAGAGAACCAATTTGGGTGGTGTGATTTGATCTTTGAAACACAAGCACTAAATCAAATGCATTTTTACTCACCACAAGAAAGCTCGATATGATGGATATTAAAGCATTAAGAAAAAAATTTTGAATAAATTTGATGTACCATATTATTTATGTTTTATTCAATAAAAATACGTCATGTTATAGCAGTTTAATCAAATAAAAATTTATATGTTATTATTTTTAATGACTTTACTTTTAGAATAGAAAAGTAGAGTGTCTTTTTAATTTTTTGTCTTATCCCTTTCTATTATCATCAATGATAGAATTAATTTATTTTTACAACTATTTGATATGACATATTTTTGTTAGATAGAGTATCAATGATATGGTGCATTAGATCCATGCAATTCCAAATCTAAACCAAAAATACACACATTGAAGTCATTGTGCATAAACGCGTGAATGAATGCTTCTCTCAAAAATTCAAGTTCTGTGCAATTGAAGGGCGAATGAATGGCTTTATGCGCTCTTCTATCTTGTGACTTTAAACGACTGTTGAACTCAGCCTATTCTTTCGAACATTGTTCACGTGCATGGTACATTATTTTCTAGTTAATAACAATAATAATATAAAGACAGCCAACAGTAACACTACTCTCTCCCTCTCTCTCTCTGTTTTTTTTTTTTGGTAGAGAGTAATGCTACTCTTTGTTTTCAAACAATTCACGGTAGGAGGTGAGAAATCTGATGTGTGAAGTTGATAAATCTATTATTTGCGTAGCAGATACTTTACATAGGGATGGAACTCTGACTGTTAGTATGTTCCTGTGAACCCTCATCCCTATTTTTCGATGCAACTTCTGGGTTTTTGGAGTTTTCATGGCAATAATAAATTTTCTTACTGGTTCTATTTTAGGAATTGGGATGGTCCTTGTTGGTGTCATTTTTTTTTTCTTTCTTTGTATCATTTTGTTTTGGGTTTAGGGTTTTTTGCTGTGTTTTTTTTTTTTCTTGTTCGTGATTTGTTCGTTGTGCTTGGTTTGCTTTTGTGAACCCTTCAATTTTTAATGATATTTTATGTTTATAGCCAGAAAAAAAAAATTCAACGTAGGTTAATAAAGAAGAAGATTTGGATACTTAAACTCATAATTAATATACTTTTATCAAATCAAATCAGAATAAATTATAAAACAGTTATAAAATAAATAATGTATGGAAAAATTTACTTGCTTTGATTTGATTGGAATTTGAGTATATAAATTTAACTATCTAATTTTTTCCGCTAAAAAATAGTTATGCACACTTTTTTACAGAAATAAAAAGTCGTCAAATAAAAATCTCAACAAATATATGGTATTTAATTAAAGCAAATAATCATGTGTCACGAGGGCGTGGAGCTAACCAAGAGTAACAATTTTATAGTCCTAAAAAAATATAATATCTCTCAACTTGGTTGTTGTTTTATTTTTGGTCAGCTCGTGGCTGTATATTATAATAATAACGCGGTCTCTTTTACTAATCTTCATACTATAACATTCCGATGCAGCGTGGATAAAATTTAGAAAAATTTGGAGTAGTGGCTGTAAAATATATTGGCTTTAAAAATTCTGGACAGAGTTTAAAAAAATCTGGAGCAGGGCCCTTCACAAATTTAGTTAGAATGTGATATTCATCCTTTGCCCAACAAAAACTCCCCTCAACAAATATAAAATTTTTGGCACCATACATCTAAAATAGAGAAAAAAAAAATACCTACATAACTTGTCCATGATTCAAAATTTCATATTATATTCACCTAACAATTTAAAATATAATATTTTTTTAGATAACAATAACAAATCAGAGAAAATTTTTAGAATTCCACATTGCTGAAAATTGTTGTTTATTATTTGGTTAAAACTGGCTTGGCTTCTCATTTTTAAAAGTAGAAGACTAGGCTGGGATCTATTATTCCTCATTAGATTTTCAT